TATCAAGGGCCTTAGCTTCGCTATTACGTCAGTATAATGGTCGGCAATTCCTTTGGGATCGGTCACTCACAATGCCATAGCTTAGCGAGTTTGTACGCTGGCCTGCGAATGTTCGAGAAGGCATGGAATAGCATGTTGCACTCACCAGTGTCATTCTTTGACGCCACACCAATGGGTATGATCATCATCCTCCTTTAAATCTGCTCTGAACATTGTCTAGGCCGTATCCTGTTGCGCTTGTCGAAGGACCAGGATACCATCGATGCAGTTCATGTCCTCGCTAAGGTACGTAGCGATCTGCTCAACTGACTAACGTTACCGAACATGGGCGCATGCAGTTCTGTCGTTGGAACCGTGTTTCTTGCGTTCTATACGTTCCCCTACCTGGGCATCGTTTTCGTGCCGCTGACGATCGCGTACTATCTCTCTCCGTTGTACTATCGTCGAAGCTCAGTGGAGACGAAACCAACGTTCGGACTCCATCCTGCGGTCATGATTGTATGCCGCCTACGTAGGTGCGAGCGAGCGTCATAAACTTTGAGTAAAGTCTGCTGATACGTGTGCGAGCGAGCGTCATAAACTTTGAGTAAAGTCTGCTGATACGTGTGCTCTATGGCAACGTTGCAAATGAAGTGGAAACCGAACAGATCGTGTCGGAGACATTTACGACGCCATTCTATTACCCTGCTCCTCGGAGCTCAGAATGTGAGCAACAGGCCCGCCGTCCGAGCCGGAACTTCATCAGCTATGTTCAGGTGAGCATATCGGCATTGATGGAAGACTAGTTGTCATAGAACAACAGCATCGTGGTAGCATACCCATCTACAGTTCACAATCGTCTTGGAGTCCTGGGGCTCACATTTATCCGCAGGCTAGTTTGAAAGATACAGGTACAGATCAATATATACAAGTCAATATACAAGTCCATGCACACTGTCGTCCACTATTAGAATTTCGGGTTCAGCGTGCCGATGTGCAGTCTGAGGCGTCACCCAATTTGGCTGACCGGACGTTCCAAACACCAGAACTAAATGTTCCATCACCGGGTGTGTCTGTTCCTTGGCTTTCATAATCTCTTGCCAGTCACCTTGCTCATTGACCATCCACACCTGAACGGCGTCCGACTCCCCTCTTTGTCCACGTCGTATACGATGGAGGAACAAATCGCCGACTTCGAGGATCCTCCCCGGATGAATACGAGATGGATGAGGTATGGGCTCGCTGCCGACACTTTCATAGTAAACGACATAGCCATTATTGCCTCTGATTTTGTGTCGTACAGGATGCAAGTGCTGTAAGGATCATGTTACATCTGTACTTGGTATCATGCTGAAGACCCTTACTTCTGAATTGCGAAGCCTGATTTGAGGTCGGATTCCCGATGTAGTGTTTGCAAGATGACGGTGGGATGCAGCCTGCAATGCAATGTGAGATTAACTGTACTTGGTATCATTCTGAAAACCCTTACTTCTGCATTGCGACGCCTGACTTGAGGTCGGATTCCCGATGCAGTGCTTGCAAGATGACGGTGAGATGCAGCCTACAATGCGATGTGAGTTTAGTGCAGAAAATTGGCGATTATAAAGACCAGACAGTAGCGGCATCGGCAGCGGCACAGGTTTGGGTAAACACATGATCTCCGCGCAAAGCACGCCGGTGCGGCTGCTCGTCTGATCAGCTCTCTGAGACCGTCTTCGATTATGGTTGAGTCCACACCTGTGTATTGTGACCCTTTGACATGAATCGTCTTCTCAACATGGGAGTCTGTGGTGACCGATAGGGCATTTGGTCGGATTTCATGAACGGGAGTTCACAATGAACCGGTAGATCATCTCCTATTGAACTTGTTCGGAAATGGACAAGCCATTCAGCGAGATCGAGTTTGGGTTCAATGCGGCTATCGATAGATGACGACATTGGCAGTCGGCCGAATCGACGAGTAGCAACACCGATCACCTTATAATGCTCCTGCTCAACAATAAAGGCACTCAGCAATTGTATCGCTTTCTAGGGGAACAATGGAACCCTTCGGCGCACGTGATCTAGATCTACAGTTGAGTACGTGGCTAGTGAGCTCGAGGTGGACGAACGAGCAGAACAACACACCCCCG